GCTGCTCCATCAAATCGTGGATCTTCGGCTCACGAGACACTCTACAACCGGAGTAAGCACATGCACTCTGCCGTCCCGCTTTCATTGATGATAGAAACAGAATCTATCTACCTGCTCCATAATAGCCCACTGTGAACAGAAAGATGTTTGCGGCCACTGAGTACGGCCAAATACTGCTTCAATACGTTAAGAATGAGTAAAGGGAACACCACTGGGAGTCTAAATCACAAGGTGTCTGCAGTTATCCGACATAATAGGGCGAATTCTCGTGTCGAAGGCTCCCGTGCAGCATCTCACGCCGACAATGAAACAGAGGTGATAGGTGGTTGATGGGCTCTGACAGTTGAGTGATGCATTGGAGAGGGGAGTGGCCGACTCTGTGGACTCCACCTTCACGGCACCTCGGCGCATTCCTCACTGTGATAAGCCTGATGCGCTCGAGTCTGCCACGATGAGCCAGAAGTCGTGGATTGGAAGGCTGTCACTTAAGGGGGTAACCCAATCCGCATGGTCCGTACATTGTGCATGCGACGTGACTGACTGGCTGACCGAGTCAAACTCAATGGCTCCATCGCAATGTACCCTCTATGGCAGTCTCATTCACGAAATCCGAGCCGCCTCCCGTTTCCGGGGAACACCTGGTCCAATGTGTGTGGACCAGGTCGCGAAGGCCGGCTGTTTAGCGTCGCCAGCCACTGCTACCGATCACGCCCCCAGCCATCCTGACCATGCCCTACTACCGGTTCTATCTCACTGAGAGGAGAGAGAGCTCATTAGGTGCTGCGCAAGTCCACAAGTACTATGAACTAGCCCACACGCAAGTTACCAACTCGTACTAATCATACGGTGCGACACACAGTTGACATCGGCAATGACTACAGTTGAGAGGCCAAGTCTCCATATTTCTGAGGCTACTTTTTGACGCAGGTTACAGAGTATCTGATACCAATCACCCACGGTTTTACTGAGCCTGAGCTTTCTTGTAATCTAGTGTCTAGAGTATCGGATTCTGAAAGATCCGATAGCTTGTTATCTGAGCTTTGTGGTCAGACGTCCGCGCTATTTGTCCTATATTTTTAAATCTGCGTCCGCGCAACATGGGCTCATTGGACGTCGCCGAGGCTTCGGTTAATCATTTGGGTAAAATTCCAAGACTGGGTACCAGTTGAGATTATTCAACCGAGTTAGGCGCTGAGATCCTGGGTCATCAGGTACTAAAGAGACAGCACGCTACCCGATTGAAGCAGTGACTATCTGATGGGCTCGAATAGATGTGAGACCACGTGCTGACCAACTGCGCATTTGACATGCGAGGCGACGTAATACATGGCGGGCGGAAACTGTTTACTTAATATCGATGCGTGTGGAACATTGTCCTCGGCAATTGCTCGAAGCGGAAACACACAAAAGCGGCCTGATAGGAGACCCACGAACAGAACTGGCGATAGAATGCCCAAGCCTTGTCAACGCAACAGTTGCTGCGACGAACAGGCGAGATCCAGGTATCAGTTCAGAAGACGAAGATGCGATCACTGGAACAAGAACTTTATTGGCCTGACGTTTCGGACACCAGGGACCAGATCCAACCGGCCCCAAATTTTGGCGGGCTCTTTCGTATGTGAAGAACGTCTCGGAAGCCGTCAATCGTCTTCTCACTCCACTTGGAGTTAAGGTTGCATACAGGCCTGAAGCAACCATTAGGCGCCAAGTTATGAGGCCAAAAGACTGCTGCCACGGCAGGAAACGTCAGGAGTCGTTTACCGGATCTGATATAGTTGCAGACAAAGCAAATATGTCGGAGAAACTGGGAAATTACTCCGAGCACGCAGCAGCAGTGAGGCGGGGAGACGCTAACTCTTAGGTGGTGGCACACTCGACGGGACCCGGCCATATTTTCAAATTTCAAGAGGCCGAAATCCTCGCAAGGGGTGACAACCGCGTGAGCCGCGAGCTGCTCGAGTCATGGTTCTCAGGCCCGCCATCCATCAACAAGCACAATGGCCTCCCGGTACCATATTTCGTGCTCAGATTTTCCGTGGGCAGGGGAATCAGTCACGTGGGGAGGCCGCGGGCGAGCAATTATCCCAGTGACAGTGACCCAATTTGCCGAGCAATCGTCACACCAGCATCCAGCACGGATGACGAAATCACGGCCATTAACGACTCGGACTCGGACTGACAAGCCACCACCGCATCAATTACGACCCCAGCGGTGATTGCGAGAACTGTTAATTACAGTGCGCCTTCGGTCCCACGGCAGCCACGTGATATAAATACTGCACTCCTTGTGCCATCATCACCATTATCTGCGAACGTCTCTGATGATGGATTCGAGTGAGAATCCGAAACGTCAGGCCAATAGATTTCTTGTTCCAGTGATCGCATCTTCGTCTTCTGAGTTGCTGCAACCTTTTCCAACTTGGCAAGATTGGTCTCTGTCAACTCGAGTGCTGATCGGTTCGAAAATGATTTCAGCAATTTCATTCGTCGGCTGGCAGATGGTTGCACATCTCCGTATTGCGATCAAGAACCTGTTGGCCATCGAAACCGGTCGAACGAGACCTCAGCCACAACCTTGACGAAGACAGCAGCTCTCGTGTGACAAATGTCACGAGGAGTGGTGCTGATTGTGACAGCACTAACAATGATACGTCGAGCTCCGTGCTCCAGGATTGCCGCACCATGGATTTTCGCTCTCCAATGCAACCGGACGGCAACCGGGTAAGTCAACATTACAGACGTGAAGACCAAAAATAAATGGGCCGGTGGCGACGGTACGGAGAGGGACCCCATTTAACTGATGGCAGACTCTGGATCACGTCATATGGGCTTTTATCTTGGCATCCATTCGCAGGCCTTTGCAGACATTACACTGCCAAGAACAGTCACTTGCCATGACATCAAAACATCACTAAAAGTCCTTTATTTTTGAAAATTAATTTTTGTTTATTTTTAATTCCCGCGCTCCTTTCCGTTGTCGTACGAAAGCGTACGAGGAGTCTTTCAGGAAAAAATCCAGACAATTTCTGTGTGTTCCTGCATTTCGTCAGCTACCTGTCTAGTGTGTTGCCCTACCCGTAAAGCTTCCCTTATCACCACTCACGTATGACACGATCCACAGTCTGCCGACAGTAAAGTGTGGTCCTTCTCCATACTGTTGCTGGACCGGTTCCCACTGAGTCTGCCCATTCCTAAGTTGGTCACGCTAACGCCGTCGCAGACCAGGGCCAATTTCAAGCGGGATAACAAATGCAAGAGATCCCAACTCTAAGTAGACGCATCACCTGGTATACTGGCTTGATTGGCGCGGCAGGATGGCCGTCCAAGGGTTCGATTTCTGAACAACCGTGGATGGCTGTTCAATAGAGACACCACCGGGAAGACAAACTCGGAGAACGGAGCGCAAGCACCATCGACCAAAAACACTCAAGTCGGCGATATCTTCTGAGCGCACGGGCATGAATCACATTAGTAATGAAGGATTACGTTGATGGGGACCTTGAATGCCCTCGTACTGGGGTCGAGACCGATCTGGCACCAATTCTGGAGATTTTGGCGAGGTCACACGAAGGCTATGAGCCCCCCGGGTCGACTTTTCTGCTTACTCAGCAGAAAGCTCGGCTCAAAATAGCAGTCTGTCCTCTAATCTAAGAGCCCCGTCCTCTGCCCTGACCGAGCAAATATCTCTGTAGTGGACAGCCATAATGGCTACGTCGCGCCTCTCGCTCGCGCCTGCACCTACGTCCTAGCGACTGCCTGCTATGGCATGCACGTCTGCCCGGCTTCGATTTGTCTCGTTGCAATTCACTGTCTGCGCCATGCACCTGGCCGATTCTCCGCCTGTACCACGGGAGGCTTGTCACTACGCTCGCGTGGGCTCGGAGCTAATCAACGCACCTCCACTCGCTGATTGGTACATTGGCGGGCACAGCCGGACCACTAGCGAAAAGAATCCGCAGCGACGCTTGCAGCGGCGACCTTCGGCGACACAGGGCTCGTCGCTCTCGCGGACGCATCCTCGTCCGGTTGCCAAATTTCCCCTTCACTATTCTGTACAGAATAAAGTTTCCTAACCAAATGGCGTCCAGCTTCTAAAAACTTTGGATATGGCCTGAAGTTGTGGCGTACTGAGCGTACACCATCACCGCTTAGCCGCTACATCTCCAACCGCGAAGCCCCCTGGTGATCAACCTGGCCATCGAGGCATCGGTTATCATGTAAACATCGGCCGCTCTCAGACCTACGTAGGACACCACATGACGCCTTCCTACAAGGGAGGATGTCCTTGTAGTCAGAATCTGTAGTTTGAGGACCACGACCTACTGTAACGTCAGGATGGTTCGCCGGTATCTACTGAAGACCCAAATTCACCGCATAACTGAAAATGGTTGGCGAGCGGTGATAATCCTGGCGAACGTCGGATGTTGACAGAAAACATCCTCACATTTCAAAGGACCTTTTGTTTGTGGCAGTCGGCGTAAAGCGGTCAATTGGACTTCGATAAAATGCCAGCTGTAGCATAATCGGCCAAAGAAAGCCCAGAAAAAGTCCACACAATCGCGCACAGCGGTCCACACTGCATTCAACTACCAGTTCTAATAAAAAAGATAAGGTAGACTCTCAGGCGGAAAACAAAATTGTCATGATAGACGGTTTTTAAGAGAAAGTCAACACGAATCTGACTAAAATGCGGGTTATTAATATTAGACAAATTTGTAGACTTGAAACATTCCCGATAAGCAGTGTATGCAAATGCCACGTAAAATGGTGGGGCGGGAGGAAAAGGACATAGAAGGGGGATTTTAAAAAATGCGAAGAAATGATCAACTCGCTAAAACCCTGAAGGCAGCAAGATTAATGGAAATGCTAGAACAGCGTACATGTCATGGACAATTTTAGCAGGTTAAACAAACTGGAGCGGGTCGGCGCACTGGGAGCATAAAACTAGATGACTAGACCGGGCGGACAGGAACTATTAACGACAGGAGCGGGCTGGACAATTAGCTGGGAACCGAGGGTAAAAGGGTATCACATGCTGTTGTCGCTACTGTTGAAGCAACAGTATTACCAACAGCTACGGAAGAACTCTTTTGGCTCAAAATTGGCGCCGGACAGGCAAGTAGAGTATGGTGAAAACCGTTCAGGGGACCCAGATCGCAGTCCTCAATGAGACTGAAGCGCGTTGTAAAGGCGAAAAAGTGTTTTGCCAGAGTATTCATATGCGCAATCAGGTCCAGCTGCTCAAGATGGCGGAAATGCGACATGTAGAGATGGGATAGGCAGAAGAGCAGTTTTTTGCAGATCTTGGCCGACTCGGAGGGCAGATCGGAGGGAAATGGTTGGCCCTTTTTAATGGGAAAGACGCGTGAGGACTGAATAATGTCATTGCATTCGGAGAGAGCAACAATGATTGCCTGGCGTGCGGTTTGAGGTGGTTTCTTGAAAGCCCGCCCTCTGGCCGACTTCTTTGTAGTGATAGCTGCTGCTGGTGGGGGTGGAGAGGGGTTAGTATCTGAAGGAGGTGAGTCCTCTGCGGCACCGCTGACAACCTGCAGATGTTCTTCGTTCTCGTTGTCGGACCAGGAGGAGGATTGAAGACTGTCACAAGTGCACAACTCGTAGATGGCATCGAAGATGGTGCTGAGGTTTTCAAACAGCCCAATTGTATGCGCAGCAATCCACTCGTTAACATCTAGAGTGGGCAAGGGTTCGACCAGAGCGGGAAAATCAGTATCAACTTTGGAGTTATTTGTCACGAGGGGTAGCTGCTGCTTGAGGTAACAGGGTCGCAGAAAGGGTCTTTGGTGATGTAATGCATCCTCAGAGAGGGATTGATCGATCGGGCTGCGGGGGACTGATGACCAATCAGTGAGTGGTGAAGCAGACGGTGAAGCAGACTTGGCAACGCCAGCAGGAGTAGTGACCGGAACAGGGCGTTGACCTGCTAGGGGTGACTTTACGTCTGCTGCCTCGCAGTTGGCGGTGGTGTCTGCGTTCGGACTGTTGGAACGACAGATGGTCTGGAGCAGAGCCACCGTGACAGGGGGTACGGGTTCAGAGGGTGAATTGGTGGTGGGGGTAGTGCTCATCAGCCCACGGCTTACGCCGCGCGCCTTGCCCATTAGCCACTCCATTTAGAAAATGCAGACTCACGCCGTGTTGTCAGTCTGTAAGGTAAGCAAAGTAAATCGTTAAAGGCAGCTCTTAAGGATAGGCTTCCGCCTGTATATGAGGCAGATGGTACAACATGTCAATCCTATACACGATATTGATAGTTTTGTTAATTTAGCCACAGACAAACGCAATAATGCATTAATAGGTATTCTGGAAGAGCTGATGATGTAATTGACTACCACCCGCAGAGTTCACACCCACGACAGGAGGAGCAATGCGTTAGTACTGACAGAGGGCTTTGAATTCCTCATATTTTGACAAAGTTACCTGCCCAACCTACTGTAACGTATAGAGTTCACCAACGCAAAAATATAGTAGGGCGGCTTCCCAAGCAGGTTCTCATTGGAAACTAGGCGAAAATTCACCACGAAACGAACAGGCAAGTTGAATTAATAGGTCTTTTGACGATTTCAATACTTAACTGGCTATAATCTACGTAGGACTGTCAGCGGACCTATGAAGGTGCCGCAGCCCGCAGACATCTCACATGGCAACAGGGGCAAAACGACATCATTTAAGCGAGGCTTCCTAGTTCTCAAATATCTCTTTAGTCGGTTACCTAGCCATCGCGGCGGTAGTGGAAATAAAAACATACGGTCGTGTTTATTCCAAGACCATGACAGGAGCTCAACCTTATCACCTGGAGGCCTAAAGTACCAAAAGTTACTTCGGGAAAAGATCATCCGATGGTAGGTTAGTTGGTCTACCACTCAGCCGCTGGTCTATGCGAGCAATACTTGTTTAGATGTCTGTGACATTTGCTGAAAACAGAAGATATCGGAGGGGTGGAGAAACGATCAACATTAGAGGTAAGAAAATTCATTCCTGACAACATACAAAAGTGTGCGCAAGCCGCATAAATCCAATAAATATGTGCTAAACGGAGTAAACAAATGGAAGCAATTAGTCTGCGATTTTAATATGAGGGATTATGAAAAAGATTACCTCAGCTTATATCAGCAATACTTAATCATACAAAGTCTGGCCGCCCATATCAGTGGAAAATATTCGCGCCACAAAATATCAATACTTTTTTCTGAACTTATGTACGGCCACGTTTTATGAAAAGAGAAGTAAATTCAGGAACTAAATCGAAAGTTATGAAGTTTTCGAAAGACCAGCAAGCGAATATACGTTTGCTGTCGATAAATTATCGTAGGTCAGTACATTTATATGGGAACGAGGTCGCATAAAACATGTCAGTGATCAGAGGAATCGAGTAAGGTTTGTCATAAAACACAGGCGTGGTGTGGGTATATGGGGGAGGAGGGGAGTAATAAGAATCAGGCCAGGGGGCGATGTCCATAAAAGATGACGCCTTTTGTCACCTCCGTTCTCAGCGACCCAACACTAAAGATTCTTAGATATGTCATCCTTCCAGTGATGTTTTGTGTTAATAACAAAACACATAAAAATTACACGGAGATTATGCTCATCAGTCTACCCTAGTTGCAGGACGGAATGCGGACGCTGAGTTTTGCGTTGGGGCTCCTGTTAAGAATACCCGCAAGCGATTGCATACCGAAGAGCAATCGGTAGTTGATAAGTATGCATAACAAAGAAAATAGACCATGATTAGGGTATGGTTGGTTAGCAAAAGCAAATAAGCCGTAAATAGCTATTCCGACGGCTATCCTTTAAAGGAGACAGTACCCTTGTGGTCATTTAATTTACTTCAAAAAAGCCTGGATCGGTACTGCCTATGCATCTAGATTCCTACGTCTGAATCTCGTGTCTATTTTATTTTTGGATATGAACATGCAAACCAAAGGTCGATAATAACGATCGTTCGTGAGATTGTGTGTCCTTTGCTGTTGTGTAATTTGCTAGCAGAGGTACATTTAGGAAGGTGAAGTGCGAGGCATTCTGGAGTTTTGGGGCGGAAACCATGGTGCGAGGGAAGCACTCGCGCCGCTGCATGTCTATAAAAACCTACCCTTGAGATTGCAATAACCGAGCTAGACCTTAGTCCGACAAACGTTTTATGCCGGCACTCTAGGATACATGGAGGAAGGTTTGGTGAGGAAAAAGTGGAAGGAGAATATTGGAAGGGACAAAACGGACGGCAATCAAGCCAAAATTGAAACGCAGGAAACAGGCCACTGAAACATGGGAAAGACGTCCGTAGCGTGAGACAGGTCTGTCCTTCCCATCAGTCATTCCCGCTTAAGAAAGACATAAAATTGAATCCGTTGTGCAAGTTGTTCGCGAGAAGGACAGCTCTTGTCGTTAGGTGCAAGTTTTCGGCTGTGATCGTTGCAGCCTAAATGCTCTTAGAAGTGGGTAGTTTGCTTTCCCTCTTTGCTTATTTTCGTTCACCGGCACTATAATTCTGGCCTGTGGTTTTAATCGGAGCGGACTCACGGAGAAGATCAGTGGATTCGGCGCTAGTTGTAATTTCTGTCCCACATACATGTTAAGACAGGTTACGGCGAAAGACGACACTCACATTTTCGGATCAGTTCCATCGTGCGTCATAGGGTAAACATACTGGAGCCGGAAAAGGCATACCTCAACATGCTACAGCATAGAAGTTGGGGCAGACGCAAGGCTCATCTCTACAGCAATCTTCGGCAAAAGGTGCGCACCGCCAACAGAGCTAACCGCGTGTCCAGATTTGAAATTCCTTGTTTCAAGAGTCACTGATTATTAGTTACTACATCCTAAAGTGCACAGCCCCTCAGATAAGAAGAGAGTCACGAGCTATTTTTCATCACGGTAAACGCGCTCCTCATACTAATCCACATAATTTCATGGACACATCGCTCACCCTTCTGGCCGAATTCGGTTTCGGCAGAGGGTTACCCAACCGTGACGAACTATGTCGCCTGGTTCTTTGAAAATTTAAAACAATTCGACTACGTAACAAAGGAAGATAACGATCGTTCCATCTACTTGCCAGACCCTATTCCAATACTATGGTGACAGTGAAGGTGGTTAAAACTATTTGCGCACAAAACATTTCTCACAAAGAGACCGAAAAGCACTTAGTTGTTAGACAGGCTAAAGGTCGTGCTGAGGCCTAGAAAAGACAGGTTTGACAGTTTTATTTGCTGCCTAACCCCCTTCCCAAAAGTTACGTTGCAGTTCGGAGGATTGCGAGACATGGTCATCTTTTAAGGAAGCTATGTTAATTAGGACCGCTAGAACGGTGTACCTCCAGACGGATGAATATGCGGCCACGGGGAGCTTTCGCCATGGCTTTGCATGCTGCATAGGTTAGGATGACTGGGCGGTAGTTTGTAACTAATCATCGACGTCCATTCTTAGGTAAACGGGTAACCAGGGCGTGCGACGAGGGTGTGGCCGCCCTTAAGGCAGGAGTGACTACTTCCCTGTTAACTGGCAGGAAAATAACATCAAGACGGGCTAATGAATGATTTGCGCGAGACCTCATCCGGACACTCGGTATCCGACTAGGATGGGACGCATGAGAACAGCCAGGGGTCTGGTGTGAAGGGGTGTCAAGACCTGGAGAGCTGTCGATGCAGTTGTTCAGTCAGCAATTAATGTCCAAGTCTCAAACAAGTAAGCCTTCCTGACTGCAGGGTGACAGTGGGAGAACGAGTTGTGGGAGTCCGGCAGATTATGCGCATGCAATAAGATGTTATACTACGACAACAACTGAAACCGGGCAAAACATGTCTCAGGAGGGACAAACAGTGTAAAATGAACATCTGATGAAAAACCGCGTGAGCAAATTGCCCACGTATCAGAGAGATGACAAGTATAAATACGGTATTATGGGATGGAACGTTATCCAAATAGATCGACGAATAATGTGAAAGACAAAATAAGCGGGGCGTTACTCGCTATTCTCATGTCCCGGATGATTTGTGACTAATTAAAACACAGACCGTTTTAAAGGATATTAGGGGTCGGAAATCAAAAACAGCACGCTCTGACCTGAAAGTTTTTAAATTATAAGACACTTTTTGAGGCCTTTTGCGTATTTAGTACCAAAGCTAGTTACTGTGCCCTTAGCAGAAAGCTTGTGGAGATGGTATAGAAACCACATAGAAAGTTGGCGTGTATAAATCCCTCATAATAAGAGGAGCCTGACATAAACGAAGAGTTACAGGCCAACCAACCAACAATGCACCTTGTACAAAGCCATGAAGAGAATCATCGTAGTTAACGAGAAGAATTTTAACGCCGGAATACTAATAGTTGACTTACCAAGAACGTTGTGGAGGCATAAGCCTTGATTCTGTGTTGTTTCGCAGGTTACACAGGAAATTCCCTAACTATGTGTGCCTCAAATTATTGCAATTTTGATCCACTGGCCACATTAAACTATCGTACATACATACTACGGTCGTCTTATTTCTTCCACTTATTTCGGTTAAAATCAATCCTACCTGTAGTAGCTTACTTGAGAACGTCTAAGTATGCAAAATTGCCTTTTGTTGAAGGAAACGATCGCTCGTTTTCCGCAATCTGAGTGGTTTCCACAACTTCTGAATGCTGGATCTGCCGAAGCATGGGATTCATGGATTTTAGCTTATTTCTGGTCTCCTCTTGAGGGAACGCTGATATCTTTGCAGTTAGTCATTAAGAGAGAAAAAGTTTCGGTTTTTGGCAAACAAATGTTCACCTTTACATCAGTTTCTGGCATGGAGTTTCTGCCCCATGAAAAGTAACGGAGCCTGTAAAATCCCGCCGTCGTAGTGTCAGTTCCGTTCTGGACAGCGGTCCTTTCCAGGATTGCACGTTTTCCTTTGGACACACCAGGCAATTTAATACATTTTTTATTATCTACAACACAACTAAGTTCGCTCTTCAACACCAGAATTTTTTCACTGCTTGCGGGATCCACGATGCATGTTTGCCCTGATCAAACCTGAAATCTGACTTTCCATATAATTATTAAATCATAGAAGTCCACCATCTATTCCTGAAATGCCAACACAAGGCAGGCAGCTGTATCGCGAACCAATCACAGGCCCTAAGGTTGGCTATGGCGCAGAACTCGTTGAAAATGGCGAGAAAGCTGAACACTTGTGTTAGTTCTTGGCTACTGTATCCACTAGGGAAACAGCGTTTTAGATTCTCAATATCAACGCTGGTTCAGTGTTTAAAATCTACGCAGTTTTCAGCAGTCGTTGGGAAAATAGAACTGCAAAATATCAAGGATACTAAACCACCGGGTTCGTACAACGAACCAGCGAATTTCTTGAAATAATTAGCAGACGAACTCTCCGAACCGCTAACGCATCACTCCCATTCGACATTTAGATTGATGGAACTCCCATTCTAATGGAGGACAGAAAACATCTTCTCGATAACTAGGGGTGGGTCTCGAACCAGTGGGAATAATTGTCGTCCCCCCACTTTAACCTGCATTTGCAACAATGTAATTGGAACCATACTCAAGAAATTGACCGTTAATTTACTGGAGGTGGACTGCCTCCTTTCGAGGCTCAAACAAAACGTAATACAGCATCGTTCTCGTTTTTCGGCTCTGTCGGTTTTGACCGAAGAGTAGATTGGGGCGCTGAATGAAGATGGTAAGGGTGAGTTCACTTACACTGACGTTAGGATGTCTTTCTATAGAGTTCCATTTAAACATCTAAGAGGCAAACTGATGGCATGCATCGTAGTTTTTCACAAGTAAATCACAACCTTTATGCGTTATTGCCTTGATGTCAACTCCTACTTCTGTTTTAAGTGGTGTGCCTCAAGGCCATTCCTTAGCCCTTACTTCGCAATGTTTGCATCGGTGACTGTTCCGACGTCCTGGGCTGCAGATCTGTCGTGTTTACTGATGTTTTCAAACTCCGGAGAGTTACCAGGTCTGACAAATTAGGCACATTCTTCAAAAGAGCCTTAACTGACTGAGCGGCTGGTCTTCTTGTCGGTCCTAAATGTCACTGGTGGTAGGTCTGTGCTCCTGAGACCCCGCACTGGAGTAACCAAAGAGGAAGACTATTCATTCCGCTACCTCGTTAATGGGCAGCCACTTCCAAGTGTTTTATAACCTAAAATAAACTAACGTTGAAATTTTAGAGCCAGTTAAATGCGCGAAACAGGTGCTATTCGTGTGGAGTCGAAAGCTCGTGCACATTTATAAGGAACTGATGGGTAAAACTTGCGGGGAATGAACTTAAGAGAAAAACTTATCCTAGAAAAATTGAAAAAAGCAAACAGTGCAATATTTAGGTTAGCATTTTAAACTAGGTGGTTAGAGAGGTTTGAATTGCATGGGCCGAGTGATTGGATGGGTAATTGTGTTCTCAAATAGTTTCCGCTGATCAGGAACGCCGAAGCAATATAATTTTATCTCCGAATTAAACTGGGAGGCCCGATGATAGGCATTCGATTTATGTCACCATCATTGACTGTTAAATTCTTCTGTGCTGTCCCACTGATAAGGATCGAAAGGGACTTCCTCTTTTGAATCGACAAGTTGCCGAACTAAGATAAACCTGGGCCGTCGGCGGTTGAGGGTGGGGTTTCCCGATCCAAATATTCTCACTCCTTTTGCTGTTTTTATATAGATGGCTGTGTAAGAATGTCGGAGGGCTAAGCAATGATGCTTGCAGATTGAACGAATTGGAACGTAATCCATAACACAAGCAATGAGAATAGATTTCAGGCTAGTCTAAGTCGATTGAAGGGATGACAGACCGCTCGCATATGTCCTCCAACATCGGCATATGCATTTTACTCTCTGCAATAACCAAAGCATAAACGCCAACAGAAGCAGAATTACCTCTTTTTCGTGCAGGACAGCTTTCGTGACGTAGACTGCCAAATGATATTAACGTTATTATGAGAGACAAAGGCAGAGGGAGGGATACGCTAATCTTAAAAAGTACTATTTCGAAATTTTCGGCGAAAAACCTCCATTACCGTAGACAGAATGTAAATTTATAGATGGTGATAGAGTAAACAGGTTTGTATGAAAATTGTACGGTTTTTATGAAGACAAGGACATGACAGCCAGGGGAACCGCACACGAAAGTTTTGCTAAGGAAGAGATGGCTTGCGACCACGTTGAGGGCAGTAGTCAGGAAGTACACATGTATTCTCAGGGCAGCCGTTGTTTATCTTCCTTAAAACAGAGTGGACCTCAAGAGCAACAGCATCCAAGGTACTAGGCCAGACTTTATACACAAATTGTAAAGAATCGGAGAATCTGAAGGAACATGGCATACTGACACCTAAAGCAACTTGTTTATCAAGCTTCATAAGTGTGGGAGACATGCCATTGGACGGAAAGATTTAGGACCAAAGTGAGTGGGCGTTTTAAGAATGGGAGCGACTTTTACTGTGCGCCAAATGTCAGGCATCCTTGAATCCATGAAGCACATGCACATAAGATGTGTTAAAACTGGTGTTATTGGCGAAATGAGGACTTAAGGAGAAGTGGCGAGACAACATCCGGCCCGGCAGGTGCTGATCCACTGATCCTTTGAAGATGTTTCTCCACCGTAGCCACTGACACAGGACAGAAGACACATAGAGAAGGCGAAATGTAGATTGAGGGAAAATTGGAGCCACTGAGAATAAAGATAAAGTCTTCGTTTAAGTATTCTAAATTAGCGTCAGTATGTGCCAGCATGCTTTGTTGGCCATTTAGACGCTTAAGATTCCTCTTCATGTCAGCAGAGAGGAGGTAAAGTAAGGGTGAGAGGATAAGAGGCAAAACGCCACTGCCAAGCCAGTCTTTCAGTTTGGTGATTCTCCTTCTTATTAATACGCAAATATCTTTTGAACTGACACTCAGACTTATTTGGTAGAGTCCCTTCTGACAAACAAACGTTCGAGATATATAAAAAAAATCCTGCAAGCTCTAATTATAACAGTTTTAAAAGAAGAACAGATATAAATATCTCATTTTAAAATGTGTACGGTAGTTAAAATATGATTTGAAATTCGATACCTTGAAGAAAGCGTCGATAATTTTAACAGTTGAACTCTGAAGCAAAAAATGCTTTGCAGAGAAGTGTCGCGAATCGCAATTTTCCTCTCAGGTTTGGTTAATAGTGCGCGATTATTCCAAGCTCATTTAGTTCGCCCAATTATTTTTCGAGGCTGGTAAAGTCATAAAGTACATTCTGTACACAGTCAAGGATCTCTATGAATTCTGATGAATAATTCCTCTTGAGGACCTTCCGCACATTTCTAAAGTCTCATTTATATGTGCTTTTTTGAGGCTCAGAGGTAAAATGGAGATCGCTCAGAACGGTCCAATTTGCTCTGATTATTTGGTGTTGTCCAGCGAAGTTCCAAGAAAATCACTGCTCCCTCTGCACTTTTAATCGAAAGCCTGAACGGAGAGTTGGCGAAACATTTCTGGAGACAGGTTCATGACGCAATTTCAAAGAATTACGCCGTCGACCAAATGGCGCCAGAACACTAACTTTCGGGTATGGAAGAATCAGGGAATTGTAATTACTTAGAAGACTAAAGAGAAGCGGACCGGAAAACAAGTACCTGGCGATGTTAATTGCGCAAGAATAGCTGAAGATGAGGAGAGAATAGTGTATTTGGGCCATTTATGTACTTAGTTTATTAATAATGGAGGCGGGGTTTAACATGCTAAAGGGGCCAGTTACAAACGTCAAAAAGTGCTCCAACCCATACCCTCCTCCGAGCTGTGGTGGATAAATGACGGCAGAATAAAAAAAGAAGAAAAGTGATTGGGCCTATGCAACAGGTTTGTGAAATTCTTAAAAAAGCTGACAAGCGGATGCAAACCCACCATTTATCACTTGAATTGGGCAGAAAAATACCTAAATGAAAGGTAGCAAATGTCTGCCCGATATGTTGGTGTGGAGATCGAACCAGCGTATAGCTTTTCCTCCCGTCTATCCTATTTGTATGTGTTCTAAACTAAAGGAAGTCTTACGTAAGGACCAAACTATGAAGTCCATTGAGTAGATAAACTCATTTTCAGACCCCAAAAGTAGTTTCAGGTAGAGCCACCCCTTCCTTTCAAATTCCTGCCTTCGACCGAACAGTGGGCCCGTGTATTGGAAAGTGAAAACATAGTCGACGTCAGCTACAGTGATTTTGAAAGAGCAATCAATATTATTTCATACAAACTTTTATTTTTTTAACGTTCTGTAGTTGGAATAGAAAAATGAGTTGTTGACAATGATCTCGGAGTCCCACACAGGACGTTCAAAATGGTTATACGTTGGTGCCTTGACTTCAAGACCTAGTTCCTTTCAAGTGGCGTCTTTAAGTGCATGGTCCTTCGGTCACTACTATTTCTATTCTGTCAAGAAGACCACAAAGTGTGCTGAGGTCGCAGTACAATCGTGTGTGTTTGGAAGGTGAAAAGCTACAGAGTCACCTGTACTGACGCAGATAGGCGCATATTTTGGAAAGAGTACAAACCAATCTCACAGCTTGTCTGTTCGTCGTATGCCAAATTTTGATTCTGGCCAACGTGTGGTCCTAAGGCTTCTTGTTAGAATATCAAGGGAGGAAGACTTTTATTTGTAAACGTTAGCGAAGAACAGTGCTTTTGAATGCTGATAGACAGAAGGACCTCGATGTTCTAATGAACTAGCTTAAATCGTTGTTTTTTTGTTCAAAAACGGCTGAACAGACGGTTCAGGTGCTGTTAACACGGAAAAGAGAGTTTGCATAATTTGATCAGGAGTTGCGCAGCGTTCGCTCGTTCTCACTCAGAATACACTGTATGGATTTGGCATCCGCGACTTAAAAAGACCTAGCGAATTCTCGAACACATCCGAATGAGGCCAGTGAAGATTATGGATAATCTTGGCGTGCTGTCATACGACGGTTGAAATGACCGAGGTTAATTTGTTTCTCCAACATTACAGGCATTGGCGCACATCCGACAAAACGCCTTCTCACAGGCGGTCGTCGGTCACGAAGAGGGCCTCTGTTGAGGGGATGCCTTCGGACACTGTTGGGACTTTTCTATCCAGACTTGAAATCCATTTTCACAAAAACCAATGTACGCATGGGAGTCATTCTGTCAGTGTTGGCAATTTACACTTGGTCCACATGTGTTAATGATGTTATTTTTCCATATTTACTACTGTAAAAATGTATTTTTTTCCTTGTCGGACATGAGAAGGAAGCCAAAAGGCGAACACCATTTTTTCTAAATGAAGTGACTTAAAGACAGGCAGGAATTGCACTGCAAACGCCCCTAACGACGTGAGCAAAAACTGTCTGTCTTAGTTACCTAAGTCACAGACGGTATATTACATGCGCCTTCGAATATAAAGGAAGCCGGCTTTCTTCTAATAAGGCCTCCTATTTTGCCCTTATCACAAAGTTTGTCCAGTCGACTCTAATGCTCTTCGGAGCATTTGGTTGGAAACGAAGACGAGAATCCGCGGATAAAGGAGAACGGGAAATACTGCAAGAGCGGTTTCAGTTTATTTGTTTATTTGATAAAGGTACTAAACAAAGCCCTCCATAAGCCTATAATCTACATGCCGGCGTGTTATGTACAGCGATACACACCTTCTGAAAAATTGTTAGTATTAAAAGAGTGTTTACAAAATTCAAGTTACAGTGTGTTTGGCACACTAAGACATGCGAGCTCGGAGCGGCTCACCCCATGTGAGAAAAAGTGGTGCGTAATTTGGGGACGGGCCGTATTTGACGCACGCAGACGGGCTGCTTAATTATGTCTTTACGTGGGTCCGATCTCAGCACCAGTTTATAGACCAATTCTGACAATCAGCTGGTTTACCAGAGAGGAGATAGTGAGGTCGAGTCTGGGGCCTGCATTCGCACGGCACTCAGCGAATATTCCTGAGTGCACATACTCCGACGTGCATTTAATCTATCACCATGAGCTAAAAGCCATAGTTTAGAGGTCTGCTTAAGGGGGGTACAAAGATCTAATCTGCAATGACCTCCTCTTAATGCAGCCCCTCCGGAAGTTGAACGCCTGTGCGATCCGAGTAGCCCAACTCCCTTCGTGCGCAAACCTGGTGCGTTGACGGAGGCCAACTCGCGTTTGTTACACCAGATGGATTGCCAGTCACTGTGTTTGGCCCCACCTCCGGTGCTCCTGACTCCGTCTTGCCACCAGACGCAGATGGGGAGACAGGGGAGAGTGTGGCAGACGCTATGCAATCCCGACATCATCATACAATATTTTGACTAACAGTCGTCGTCCTGCGCCTGCCGGTCTGCAGGACACGGGGTGGACATTGTAGACCACGATAGTCGAGCTGTAATTTGTCGGGTACAGAAATATGGGACTGGAAAAGTTGCAGTATGGCCGCGAGACGAGTGTATGACTACAACGCCAGATGCTACTTTACGAATGGTAGAAATACTAGTTAGCTCCACAGTACTGAACTGCTCTAAACGTCACGCATGCTATTTCTGGGACCTCGGGAGTTATCTAATACCCTGGGAAGCAATGGATGACTAAATCGCCCTAACCTCTGGTGTAGTGTTGAGCACCGACAACAGCAGCCGGAAAGGCTCTGGTCACGCTCATGTGAAGGCACGAATATGACTTAGACTAAACGCCGACCGGACGTTCTGACTAGGAGGACAAAGTTGTTGACCGACTCAAGGATCCTAACACGGCTACTTGCTCCCACTTCACTACCATTATTCGGGTTACAGCATCTAAATAGATAGAAATTGACTCAGAGGAGCAATTCTCTCGAAGTTAAATTAAGGAACGTAATTCGCATTGCAGGCGAACGGATATAGAAGACGTCGACACAAAGACCAGATTAGCTGGTGCAATGATCAACTTGAAACAGGAGATAGGGAAGACAGTTAGACGGACAGTTTTTTTTGCTGAGGTCGAAAGTGTACAGGCAGCGTCCTCAGCAGACAAGGGTGGGCCGAGGCGCATGCGTCCCAACCTCGTCCAGTTGCGGCCAAACGGTAAAGAAAAAAATATCGATCGGCGTCACGGCGTCCCAAGCGGGAGTGTGTCACGCGTGTCGAGCGGACCTTAGACGCATGAATAAGCGGCGCCAATGAAAACAGTGAGAGCGGGAAGCAAGGTGCGGGCCGGCGCCAGTCGTCTAGGCTAAGCGAACACAGAAGGACCTGAGATCCGGATGTGGTGCACGACATCGTGTTGAACCTCGCTACTGCCGAATTGATGGCTGACGATTTTCGGATGTTGGAGGAGGAGCTCCCGATACGGGCATGTTACATATGTATGCAGAACAGATAAGTTGTAGGAAGTTGAGCCACGAACAGATAGATTAGTCGTGCGGTCGAGCAGCCGGGTATGCCGGAAGTCAACAGTGAACTCGAACTCGGCCAGAAAATCGGAGCCGAGGATTTTATGAGGGACATCGGCGATCAGGAAGATACAGGAGAATAAACGACGGAGGCCGATGTTTGTTGTGAGGGACGGGCTGCAAAACGTGGGGGTTTAGGACCAGTTGACAGCTCGGAGCTGTAGACCAGTGTTGGGGCAGCCGCGGTCGGCTGGAGTGAGAAGGACCCCTATTCCCGGGCTCGACCGAAAACTGGACATATAGATATCGCACGAAATTCCTTGCTCGTTCATTCACATGATTCAGGGCATAACTTACGCTTGTTAAACCTCCATTAGATAACTATCTTTTGCATTACCCTTCAGAGGAGAGCAAGTCTTTATACCAGTGGGCGGTCTGTCGAAAGATTCTTTCCCTCCACGTGATTGTCGTGAGCAAACATGACCACTTACAGATGCACTGGCTGATGGAGAAGCCATTCTGAGCGAAATACTGTGACGCTTATGCAAATATAAACGACACGTAGTGAAATGTAGTCAACATGAACTGGCATCTGTTGCATGGGTGGAAGCCTCTGTGTGTGCGACAGTTTGCGTATGCATATGAAGAAGGAGGCACGAGCGCTGGGACAAGAGCTTTATTAACGATGGTAGGGAGCGCCCACCGATCGTTCTTACGGAACTCACTCGTTCCGTTGTGCCTTATGGACTCTCTCTCTCGAGCCCAACCAGCAGCCGCACAGGGGCGCATGATATAGGCAGGATGGCATTATCGACAAACACAAGGGAGCCTGGAATGGCCATTTCTGGCTTATTTGCCGTCGTCAGCCAGTTATAACCAACCCTGAAGTGTGGCACACCCGAGGCTCGAACTCGAGACCTGTTTGTTAGAAGTCCACGCCTCTACCCACTGAACCACGAGCCCGTTGTGTGTGCCGCACTTCAGGGTTGGGTATGACTGGCTGACGACGGCAAATAAGCCAGAAATGGCCATTCCAGTCTCCCTTGTCTTTGTCGGCAATATCATTCAGCTTTACAAACCTAACGTTTCGGATTCTCAGTTGAATGTATGAAGTGTGTAAGTCGCGGCCGCTGTACCAAGCTCCGCGTTCATCAGCTAAACAGATACTGTCCGCCTCAAACGTTCTCAGTGACTAAGAGACTCTTGAACTTATGAAATCAGTCTTGCAGGTGGCGGGGGCTCCTCGGTAGACGCAGAGAGGCGAGTCCCAGGAGCTCTCGTCTAGCCGTGGAGGTCACGGTGGCATCATCGGAAACGACGGTCGAACTACAAATGTCGTCTAAAACAGGAAAATAAAATTCCTCGTTCTTCTATCACGGAGCACCTCTAAGGTAGCGGTCACTTCGTTGACCCCAAGGCTTCGTTCCGAAGATTAGTTCGGGCACGAACAACTCGGACATCGCGCTACTTAGTGGCAGCCTACATACGGCGGGAGAAACCCGACCTATGCAAACAACTGGACCGCGTGGTCAACCTCAGCTTTCCCTGGTAAATCTCAAGCCCCTGATTTAAACACCCGCTCTGCTTGTTAGCATGCCCATTTTCTGTCCCATATTGTATTTTCGAGTTACCATTTTTTATTGATTAGTTTGTGCACATTAAACGGTGCCCTTGCTGTTTTGCATTGAATTTTCTGGGGAAATTTAAATATCTGTATCTGTCTCATTCGTTATTTCTGTTATGCAGCGACAGGTCGCAGTTGATAAGCCGTCGCGAAATTTGTTGTTTCCAATTAATGCTGCTGTGTATGCCTGTTTCAAATTATTTATGGACTCACTGCCCTATCGGCTAATGTAATACCTGTTTCGGTCTGAGCATGCGGACCGCATGTAGTACGATTTCCTAATAAAAGAGCATTTGCACGTTCGCCGACTAGTCGAACCAGTTTTCTTGGACTCTACAACAACGGGATCGGGAAAGTCGCCAACTACGTGTCTGATTAAACGGTTGGCAGGGAACTGCACTGGGTTCTTTCTAAAACGAGTTTGCAGTCAAACAACAATGTGGTCCAGTAAATACTGTCACCCTGACTAGTAACTTGACCACTCAGGCTTGTCAGTTATCGTTTCTGACTCTTTGGTGACCCAAATGTGGTACGAAAATAAAACAGCCAAAGGGTTTATAGATATACTCCTTACATAATGTTTACTCGTGACCTAATATCTCTGCTTTTCCTGTAAATTAGCGTATCCACGCATAGGAAAAAACGGTTGTCGGCACCTTTTCGTCAACCAAAACCAGGCGAAGATTCTGGCCCGCTATTGTGAAGTGGTCCTTCAGCCGTCGCAATATCGGAATATTTCCCGTCTTTTCGGGCATGCTCCTCTTCCTGTGACTGTAATGCATTTTTCAGACAAACACGGTCCTTTGGATCGGTAAATTCTATCCAATGCACCTTCCAGAAGATATGACATCGCGTAATTCACACGATGAAGTTCTCGCTGACGGATTGACTTTACTTTTCAGTAATTAGAATACACAGAACCTTACCGGCCCAAGTTAATTAGATCCCAGCAACGTACCCTACTTATATACCTCTATATTGGGCGCAGCACCAAACGGTGTGTGCTGGTTCAAGCAAGGGGTCATAACACCCCTCATCGTCTACGCACATCGCTCAACCTGATTCCAATATACCTCGCCTTACCATCAACATCCCCACTCCATTCAGTGTTTGAGGGGAAGCTGTGATAACCACGCCCTGGCATGGTTGACATTCTTTGCTTCAGCGCTTGAACTCACGTTTACATATGCATCATTTAGTATCTCGAGGTTACTTGAATCTGTCGTGAGCGCTTCCACTTCAAGGCCGCGTCACCTACTCCCAGACGTGAGACCACCCAGACAGCCAACCTGACGGTGGGACTGATTGCCTCGACGGCCTACCTCAAGGATGCACACGTCCGTCCAGACACAGTAGTCCGTGCTTTCGTGTAAATCAGCGTGACACATGACTCCTGCTCTAGCTCCAGCGGATCAGTCGGGGTGCGATGATCGATAGTTCGAGGCTTCCTAAACCAAAAATCGGGGGTGGGAATGATTAGACATGTCCCATGTACAACGAACCCTGTAAAAGCGCTGACATGCGCAATTAATGCTACGTTGTTGGTCTTGGAGAAGGCAGGTGCAATAACACGGACCGACAGACGCATGGCGAGACCCCATGATATGGCTATGGCCCGATTCTATGGCCTCCCTAAGGTGCAAAAAAACGACGCTCCTCTCCGACCCCTCGAGTCGCTCAAAGGTACTCCAACGTACGGACTGGCTAAGTAGCTGTTTCGGCGCATTCAAGTTCCTGACCGCTGAGTCAGACACCACGGTCTCTTCGTCAGCACAATTCCTGGAGAAACTGAAAGGGGTAAGCCTCCATCCAAATGAGGTCATGGTATCTTTTGATGTTACATCCCTTTTTACTTCTATTTCTCAGGACCTGGCGATCGAGACAATCGAGCTGCTTCTACAAAGCAAATACGATTAAACGGAGAATCGTCTTGGACACGCCCAAGTCCTTCAGCTCTTGAAGCTCTGTCTCAGGACGTACTTCACGTTCGACGGCACAATCTACGAACAGGTGAAGGGCACAACAATGGGTTCGCCGGCTTCGGGATTCATCGCCGAGGCGGTCCTGCAACGGTTAGAGTCGCTGGTCTTCCAACACCACAAATCGAGGTTCTGGGCCCGGTATGTGGATGATACCTTCGTTGTCATCGAACGGGTCAGGTGCTGACATTCAAAGAACACCTCAACGCCGTCTTCCCGGACATTCAATTTACGATGGAGGGGGAAGAGAACAGTCAGCTGGCCTTCCTGGATGTCCTCGTATGTCGCAAAGATTGTGGTGGGCTAAAGACCAAAGTGTTCAGGAAAGCGACAAATACGATGCAGGTACTGAACTTCAACAGCAACCACTCAATCAGCCACAAACGCAGTTGTGTAAGGACGCTCTATCGGCGTGTCGAAACGCACTGCAGTGAGCCGGAACACAAGATTGCCGAACCACAATACCTCCGACGGGTCTTCAAAGCCGATGGCTACCCGCGCAAATTCGTCAACCGATGCATACGCAAAAAGGACGAAAGGCCTAACCGCACTGACACCAAACTTTGGCAAGCGTTTCCATATGTCAAGAACGTTTCGGAAGCTGTCGGACTCCTTCTCGCACCACTTGGGGTTGGAGTTGCACACAGACCGGAGGCAACCATCAAGCGTCAGTTAATGAAACCGAAAGATCCACTGCCACAGCACGAAGCGTCTGGAGTCGTTTATCGGATCTGGTGCAGTTGCAGACAAAGCAACTATGTCGGAGACACCGGAAGACAGCTCCGAACGAGGATGGCCGAACGCGATGCAGCGGTGCGGAGAAATGACGTCAGCTCTCAAGTTGCGGCTCATTCGACGAGATCCGGCCACACACTCAAATTTGACGAGGCCGAAATTCTTGCTAGAGGTGACAACCGCGTGAGCCGGGAATTGCTTGAGTCATGGTTTACTGGCCCCCAGTCCATTAACAAGTGCAATTGCCTGCCCCTTCCATACTCGGTGCTGAAACTTCGCCTAGGCGGAATAATTGGCCACGCGGGGAGCGCACATGTGAATAATCTTCCCAACCTGAGGGTCGGTGGATCAGATGGTCGAGCCATTATCACACCAACATCCAACGCACGTGATGAAATTGCGGCAATCAACGACGCGAATGTCAGCCATTACACCACGTGCAACGATCCCTGATGAAGGGGGAGCCGTGAATATTCATAGGTATGCGGTAGCATGGCTACTACTACTAAAACTGCAGCTGCGCTGGAGCGGCCACCTGGTGCGCATAGACGACGAGCGACTACCCAAACGACTCTTCTACGGAGACGTCGCGACGGGTTCTCGTCGTCAAGGAGGCCAAATTCGCCGTTACAGGGATACTCTGAAGTCCTCCCTGAAGCGCTTGCAAATCAACCCGACCAATTGGGAAGATCTCGCCCGCGATCGTCCGACATGGAGAAGAACAGTGAAGACGGGCGCTGCTATCTATGAAGCCAACCGAATCGCCGCCGCCAAAGCGAAAAGCGAAGCCCGCAACTCACAACTTCGCCCAGTCCGCAACGCCGCCGCACAACCTCTCCCTACGTGTCCTCGATGTCAGCGGACATTCCGGG